GAAAATTTATTTTCATATGTAAAATATATATATATATATATGCTTTTTTATCAAATAGCTATTTAGCTATTGTTTGTGATTACAGAATCATGTTTAACATATATCAAATTCTTCATTCATTCTCTTTTATAATGAATGTCAAAAAATATGTAAGTTATAAACAGTTTTATATGAATACCTCTTAATTATTATATACAAATATTTAATTAAAAATGCTATAAATAGCAACTGTCTAATAAAAATTTTTGAAGTAATACATTTATAGATTAACTTGCTTGATTACATAACTTTTGATTTACTCAACAATTATTAAATGAAACTCATTTTTTGCCCTATTTGTGAAAAACACTATCTTCTGTTTATCAATTAGAGCATACTAAAAGAACAAATATTAAAAATAAGTTATTTTACAATACAAAATTTTCATAATTTATATCTAATAATGTGTTAAGTCCAAAATGTAAGTTTTAAACAAATTTTGAAATTTGTAACTAAAATGAAGACATTAATTATATTTCTAGCTCAGCTTTCTATGAATAAATTCTATAACGATTTTAAAACTGTTTTTAACCACATCAAATACACAAAATGTCAACATAAATCTGATAATTTTAAAGTAAAGTAACCAAACATTTGATAGAACAAACATTAAAGTAAATATATTTCCAAAAGAAATTTGAATTAAGAAATCATAATTTAAAACTTTCTGAGAAAATATAGATGAATAAAACAATTGCATGAATGTTTATTTAATTTGTTATATAAGTTAAGTAATACTGTATTTTTATTTAAAGTGAATAAAAAGAGAATTATTTTGTATATGATAGGCTCACTCTTTATCAAAATTTTATGGTCCTGAAAAGAATCTTTTTTGATAGTCCTATAGTACTGTTTCATTCAACTAAAACGTTGCAGTACAATAGATTTCCGAAGAGCAATCCTGGAATTTATTGCTCATTCGTTGTTGAAATTTCTTCTCTTTTTTTCATTTAAATAATCTGTTATAAACTTTTCCACTTTAAAATCAATGGCTCAATTATGCAAAATTGCTGTGGCTATTATTATATTAAGTGTTTTGTCTAATTTAGTTCTCAGACAACTTCCAATGCACGGAAAGCGTCTTTTTCAGACCCCAAATAATCTCTTGATGATATTTCTTGCTGGTGAATGAGCTTTGTTATACTGTCTTTCGGCATGATTCTGCGGATGTAAAAATAGGGTCATTAAATATAAATTGTCAAACAAGGATAGCCACTTTTTCACTGAAATATACATTTAAACATGCATCAATTATATATTTTCATTAAAGTTATCAGTTTGAGATATATGTCAAAGATATAGTCAAGAATAAAACTGTTCTATAACTTGTTTCTAATCGCTGAACTATGGCAAGCGAGAACGCCGTCTCTGCAATGAAATTTTTCTAAACCACGGTCTAGACGTTCTCTAAATCGTCGTCGGCATCTAAACGTTGCCTCTGCAATTGGCTGTTAGACTTTTGTCTCCCGATCGCGTTCATTCTTTCTACGTGTGTTGTACTGGAGCCAGTAGTTGTACTCGAGTTCCAAATAAAATTATTTTATTTTTTAACATCTGTGATTATTTGGTCTAAAACCCAAACTGTGTTTCCATTAAAAAATTTTAAATAAATACAGTACTGGAAATGACAAAAATAAACAGGATATTTTAATTCTAAAATAGATACATTGACACGAAACAAAGATATAAAAACTTTTTTTTATTATTTTTTATAAACGAACTCGATTCGGAGATTTTTTTCTATGGGTGAATGCATGTAATCTGGCTGCTTTACACGATTCAAATATTTTGCACTTGAAGCTGTCTCCTATTTGACAATACGACCTCCTAATCACTGCTTCATTTGTTCACTCAACAAATGGAAATCACTCTGCTAAGTTTGGGCAGTATGACAGATAATCAAGCAGTTCCCACTTGAACTTCTAGAAGCGATCCTATGTCTCTAATACACATTGAAGGTGAATGTGGTCATAGATAAGATTAACTTATGATGATAACATTCCTCTCTTTTAGTCTTGTATTGATCATTGTTAAAGATTCTTGCAGCGAATTAATAGTATTGGAGTCCCTTGAATCGCGGGGAACGAAAACGCGATCTAGTCGGCCTATAGGTAAATCCGGCCGAAGATATTAATTTTTCCGTCTCGTAGCTGTCCTGAGTTTCAGAAGACCAGAAAATACAGAATGAAGAGAACTCGCCATCTATAAAAATTTCAAAAATTAAATATATCAATACAAGATTTTCATAATTAATATTATAAAATGTTGTTAAATATACTTTAATCGGAAATTTCTTGGTAACGTTGAAGTAATCATTCATGGATAAGCATAGAGATGCTTTACCAAATCTCTTCATAAAATTCAGCATCTGCACAATAACTTATTGCTGTTATTATATTGAAATTACAGATATATTATAAAAATTAATTCATAAATATAATTGATTCGAAAAACTTAACCTTTAATTTCTGTTCTAAACTGAGATCGCAATCAGCAAATATTCTTGTGTCTTGAAAGGATGTTTGCATCTGAAAGAGAATAACGAAGGAAAAACATTTCATGAAATATATAAATTAAATTAAGTTTTGATTTCGAATAAATTTATTACGTTTGACGTGAAAACAGACATCAAGAATCCAACTAAAACACACAAAAAAGTTATTAGAGCACAGATCAGAAAAATGAAGACTTTCAACGCGAATTCCACTTTCGAAAAGATGGCAATAAAATAAAGTAGACACGTTTCTGTTAATAAAGTAGCATACAAAATAGTCAATACATAATTGAATGGTCCGTTGAGTTGATTGGTGTATGACCAAATTTCATGGTGTTGTGCCATAATTTCTTCCAATTCAAGTTCCAAGTTTGGATTATCCTTTCTCAAGACATACAAATCCTCTGATATTTTCTGAAATTCTTTTGTTAAAGAAACAATAAACAAAAACAGAAAAAAGCCGAGGTAAGGTAAACCACCGCTTATCAAATTCATCCATATTCCAACTTCGATACTACAGAAAAGTGCTTCGAATTTGAATGATTCTCTTTTTTTCACACCGTGATAAAAGTAAAATACATTCAACAACTGAATCCATAATGTAAAAATTATCGTCATAGTCATTGCGACAATTCCTGTGTAATTAATGATAGAAAACAACTGATTATCGCGAAAATAATTTGAGTTTCTTAGTTTTATTCTCGTATGTAATTTTACTCTCCTTACGATGCTAAATATTACGGCTAATACTAAGGCAAGAATAGCGACGCCTACTTTGACAAAGATGTCGTTGTCGACAATCGAATACCAGGATATACACGGCGTTTTATATGACACGAAAGGGAGTATCATGCAAAACGTAAGGAAAAAATGTAACCAGTAAAAGCATTCGATCAAAGATAAATAAAATGTCTTTAGAAAATTGAGCTGATAATTGTGGTTTCTTGTGACGCATGAACAAGAGTTAAAGAAATTCCATCCGTAAATCATTGACATTGAGGTAAATGATGACAGAAAACATTTCAGACATATTTCCTGTTGAAAATTTGTAACCCTAAGCCTAATACTTGGAGAAGTTTGCATTTTGTCCTTTTCTTATAATTGTAATAATCTTAGCGACGTAACAACGCTTATATTTATGTTACAAAACAATTACTAAAGAAAGAAATTATTTATTGTAGAAAATAAGCAAAGATAACTTCATAGTTTCCATGATGAATTTTAGCTTGCTGTCTTGTATACTCTTATATGAAAGTTATTTTACTCTAATGATTTCTATAAGCGATTTTCATAAATGGAATTTTAAAACTTCCATTTATGAAACTAAATATGGCCTGGAATTATAATAGCACTATAAACTTACACAGGAGAATTGAGATTTATAAAAAATCAATAGGATAAAGTATCTGTAAACATAGTAAAGTGGTTCGCTTTCTAAATTGATGCAATCAAGTACAGCTTTAATAACAAATTTCACTCTAAAATATTTATATGATAATATACAGTTATGTCTTTGGAAATATTACCATTATCGATATCCACATTTTCCTGAAAATGCATTTTCAAAGCTATACGTGATCATTACGCTTATAAAGTCGTAAACTTTACACTGTCAATAACAAAACTGGTTCGATACAGCTTTCGATTTAACGTATGTAGTTTCGGCCTGTGGCTACAGTATTTGTCACCATGGGCAAACTTAAACAATAAAAATTGAGAGAAATAATAAAACAATAGAAGAATAGTTTTGTAGAGATCAAAGTCGAGAAAAAGCGGTTTGAGAGGAGTCGGGTTCTGTCGCGATGTTGACCTCTCCCGCGCCCTTCTATAGGTTTCGAGTTGTCACCATCTGACGAGGAGAAACCAATGGAGAGAATGGACTTTGAGAAAAACAGGCAAATACGCATGGTTCAAGGACGCGATGTTTTCGGCTCTCGTTTTATCACTCCTGATTCTCGCTTCTCCATGACATCTGCTGTTGGATGCTCTCTTCGGAGTGAAGTGCTCTGTGAGAATTGTACCGACGATTCTGACTGTAACTTTACTCTTAGAACCCTACTTTGAAGGTTGGACAGTGCGCCCCGGGACACCGATCTCGAAAAAGCTACGAGGTACCAGAAGAAGACAACCTAAAGAACTTTTGGACTTTGATTATACTTTGAAAGAACTGTGAACAATGTGAGGACCCAACCGAGGTCCGAAATCATGTAAATCGCGGTATTCTTATGATTAAATAATAACGATAGATTAAATATGAGAGGGAGAGGAAAATCTCATAATTTAAACAACGCGGCACAAAATGTAAACAACGAGTCCCGGATGACTCCAACACGTGTTAAATGAACTGTCAATGTCAAAATGAAAAGTTATAAGTCAGACACAAGTGATCATAAACAGGTAGAACTTTGACCCAAGCGATCATAAACAATCAATCTAGGGAAACAGTTTCGGAAAAGAGAGAAAGATTAAGAGAGATAAATTATTGCATATAATCGTTCCCAGATGACCCTGGGAACGATCAGATGATGGAAAAATGATAAAATTCTTAAATTTTCTGAATTTTTTGACTTCATTTTTAATCTTTTAATTTTTCTCTCGAGCCTTTTGTTGGACGAGTTTATTAGGAATTATCAAAACCAATTGTTTAAAATCGTATAAATAAATGAATTTGTTTTTAAATTTTAATTTTGTACTAGGCTATTACATTAATTTATTAATTGAACTAACTTCAGCTTTATGTAACCCCCTTGTAACGAACTAAGGTTCAAACAGTAAAGATTTGAATTGAACTGAATTTAATTGAATATTCCTAATGCATATAAACCGACAACGATGTAATTTATTAACTCGCAAATATTATTTTAATAGGAATATTTTTCCTCTCTTTAAAGGTTGGATGTCAATTTTCAGTAGCCGAGTAAATAAAACCACTGAACACTATTAGCTGGTACTTGATTAATGGACTGGTCACGTGGAATTTCTCGCATTAAAACGATTTATTTTAATATTATACAATTCTATATTAATAAACAAAATTGTTTATTGTTCTCTAATATCGTATCTAGCACATCAATCATTGCTTACAGGAAATAATTGAATCCTTGAACAATTCGCTTCTTAATTAAATTCGTTCGTAATTCTGCGTTATGGAAATGCTGCTGCAATAATAAACAATAAGAATACATGTAGTGATAGTATAAGCGCGTCTAGGAGACAAGCCAATAAGAAATCCCATTTCGTAAAAAACGGGTTTTCTCATTGGCTTACCTCCTATTTGCCAATTACAAATGCCCTTTGTTACTATCAATAAAACTGGTATATATTTGGTAAAAGTAAAGCGGTGGGGAAGGAGACTCGTGACTTCAAATGAACTCGAATAATGACTGTGGTCTTTATAGAATACTTTTGTCGAAATAAAATTCTTCACAGAACAATACAATTACCTTTGTCTTTTACGATCTCAAGAAGAGTTTTGACAATGAAAACCTACGACTAAAATTAAAGAAGTAAGTCTTGAATTAAATATTTTGATTTACTACGCAAGTAAAAAAATTGTATTTAATTATATGTATTTACAATACTTCATAACACTCCACTGGCTACCATTACTTTTTAATTGTATGTGACGATACGTTCAAACTAAAAACAGACGTGCATATAACAATAACCGAGTGATAGTATATGGGCAGATTAACTAACTAAGACTAAAATTTGTAGACACGCTAGTTTTATTTAGTCTGACAATAAATTCACATTAAATTGATAGTTTCTAATCAATTAATCGGCCATATTATTAATCCAATAAGTCCGATTGTGTCGTTTGATTATTGACATGTTTCGAGTGCGGTATTGTATGCAATTATTAAAATAACTAGCAGATGATCCCGGTGTTACACGGGCAAAAAATAACAACTGCAAAGATTATTAGATTATTTTTTACTTCTAACCCTTCTACTATATTATATTATAGTATTTGATTTATATTTACAAAGGTTATCTTACGTAAAAGTTTATCATACCGAGTGTCCAATCTAACACATTTTAAAAATTCTTTAAACTGTGTACAGTAGAAAAATAAAGAATTTTTAAAATGTTACATTGGTCATTCGGTGTGATAAATTCTTACGTAAGATAACCTTTATTGTTATATAGCCAATCTTACACGTTATCATCCGGTGCAAGAATTACATCCTTTTCTTCCGAGACTAATTAGAGAATTTTTAAATGGGTCTAAAAATATGTTCGATTTTCGCAAGAACGCAAAAAAATGCGCTTATTATTATTATCAAATCTGGATTATATTAAAAGATCCATTAAAACAATTTTAAAAATCTGGAAGTACTTTACGCCATACAAGACAGAACTTTTGTCCAAAACAAAAGCTTTACCGGTAACCTCTACCCAGCCATATTCTTGAATAAAATTGTTATTGTTTAATTAAGTACATAATACAGTAGAGCGTCGATTATCCGAAAGTCAATCATCCGAAACGTCAATCATCCGAAAGAATTTCATTTGGCAAATTTAAATTTTCGCCAGTGCTGTGGCGCTTCAATCTTTGGCTATGTCTTCGGCTACTGAAATATTTTACGTTTTTGATACTAAATTAACATCTGAAGTATAATTTTTTATTGTTTTTACATTTTTCAATATATTTATTTTGTTTGTACAAAATAAAAAAATAATTTTTAACGATACAATAGTCTTCGTTAGGCTTAACATCGACGAAAATTCAACGCGAAGCGACACGCAACGGAGAAAAATGTCAAGATGGGATAAATTAATATATTTTTTCGTACATAATCTGTTATCCGAAACATCGATCTTCCGAACAACCCGTCCCCAATTTATTCAGATAATCGACGCTCTACTGTAATATTGTTATTATTATGTTATTAATTGGAATACATAGATATTTCGTAACACGGAATTCGTTACGAAATATGTTAGTTTTTTTATAGTGTTTTGGTCATTAATTAACAAAATTCTTCATGAATGATCGTGAGGATTCTTTTCCTGATCTCCATGAGCAGT